GAAAATTTAGGACATATTCCAGATGTGTTGTAGAATTTAAGCTGACAATAAAAAAATTGAAAGCTGTAAACCCATGTTATTAAGAACAATCTATTTCTTAGAACAGTGTAGTATTTTGCCTAATACAGACGCCATTTGACTTTATACCAATCTGTGAGATTTCTTAATGAAATTCAGAAATCATATATTTCTGGTAATAATATGGTGGTAATATCAAAATTGAATAAACTCGGATAAAATACTCACTAGCAATATCTAAGTGCTTTCAACTTTATACCGTTATATCGGAAAGTATTATATAATATTGGGTATCTTATAATTTAATACCAAGAATGTACGATATGGATCCTGGAATTACCTCAACACCTATACACTACACATAATTATTTYCATTAGTTCCGAATGAAATCCTTTGACTACAACTCTACAATTTTCCTTGAAAGTAATATATGAATTCAAATTACTGTTTCGCTGCAAATCAAAAAGAAATAATTTTGACCTTTGACCTCATGTAGCTTTTATATTCACACACTTTATACAATAATYAACCGCACTTATTTATTTTCAATTCTGCGTAAGTTACAGATTCTTAAACATGAAAAGCACTTAATTCACCATAATTATGCAACTTCACAATTATTTACTTTTATCGCACTTGTTGCATGTCATTCCGGCACATAAATATGTACATATGTAACTACATATTAGTTGGTGGTCATTCACTTGATGAAGATTTAATTACATACACATATTTATATTAGGTAGGAACTTTTTCCCCGAATCATCGCAGTTAATAAGAATATGCTTAATATATAAATGGATATGCAAACTCAACAAATAAACGTTTCAAACCATTTCAGACAGATTTTTATACCCTCCACAGTTTGTGAAATATCGAAATGAAATTTGACACACAGATTTGACGACCACTATAGCATATAGCTGTCATACAAGCAGACAGATCAAATCAAGATAAATATTTTTTTATGTAATTTTTGCTATAAGAAATGTACATATATGTTAAGGGTATTATAACCAAACCGGAAACATGTAGGAAATTCTTTGTTCTCTAGTGGTTTATTTGTGGCTTTTTGAACTACACGAGATGAGTATACAACAACCAAGAGGATTGCAGAGTTGCCTGAGTCACATGTTGAAATTTTCTCAAAAATGGTGAGGCAAAAGTATCTCAAATAATTCACTTCTGTGATACAGTGTAATCGGGATTCTCTCTGCTCTTGTCAACCACCTCACTGGTTTTTGTAGTTTTATTTTGAGCTCTAAAAGATTCAAAGTTCTTTCCGTCCCGAAGGCAACAATTTTAACTACGCAAGTGAGATTCTCCTTTCAAAATCAGRCAAAACGAGTGATCCAAGTAGAKGTACTTTTTCAATAGCCATTTTTTGACAGATCACGCGTGAGTCGTGTCAAGCTGTCATGACATGTTTGTTCAATATTTTTTGGCATTTCATCAACATAAATTTACATCTGAACAACGTTTATTAGTCGTTCAATTTTATTACGAAAATTCACATTCTGTAAAGAATGTGTTTCGCGCGCTTCCCTCAACTTATGGCCAAATCGGCTTACGGAGCATATTATTCGCAACATCATCACYCATCTTGAGACCCAACATTAATTAATGGATAATACTCGACCGAATAGACCGCGTCCAGCACGCAACGAAGAAAATACAAGAGTCGTAACTGAGAGTTTATGCGAAGACCGTGGTRAGTCGATTCGGCGCCGTTCACAGCAACTCGGTCTGACGCATGGAAAGACTTYGGCGCATTTTATGTCGARACCATAAATTGAAAGYATACAAAATACAACTTGCGGAAGAACTGAAGCCGCTCAACCGTCTCAAGTGTCATCGSTTCACTCTATGGGCTYTTGAAAAATWCCAAGAAGAYTCAACGTTTTCGAGCYAAATTTTGTTCAACGACGAGGCTCATTTCTGGCTCAATARGTATGTCAACAAGCAAAATTRCCATATTTGGGACGAAGAGCAACCTAAAKAGATTCCAGAGCTTTCATCCAGATAAAAGAACGTTTTGGAGTGTTCTGTGGGCCGTTAGAATAATTGGACCATATTTCTTACAAAATGATGCCGCTGAGAAGGACATTGTCAGTGGCRACCCACTATTTGATGCCTAAAGTTGAAGGTCGTCCTCTCGGTGACATTCCGCTTCCTTTAGGCCTTACAGCAACACATTACTAGATGTGTATAAGAGACAGAGATAACCTTGAACGATCAGAAATACATTTCATGTTAATTATTTCTGGTTGCAAAGCACTGTATCCTAAAGATAGTCACTGGCAGCCAATTAAACTGCTGAATAACCCGACCATAGAACTAATTAACATAAAGGTGCGCTGAACTCGTATCTACATATACACATATATATATTAATTACTTCATACAATTATTTTCAAAGCACGAGCAGAATTCCACGAAGCAAGTTCGTGACAAAACTAATGACAATTTAAAAAAAAAGTATTTTAATACATTTTAAAATAAGCGTTTCTTAAAAAATACAAATTTATGTTATTTTTCAAAAACAATAAAAAAAATAATTTAAACACTATTTTTAGAAGAATGAACACGGTTTATATAAAATAAATTTAAAAAAAAATTCCCAAGTTTCTTCCAAATAGAAGCTTTTTGGGGATATATCCCCGCAAAAAAGCCCGGTTTGAGCAATAATAACCACGCTATATTTTAGTCAATAATCAAGCAAATACTTACTAAATCTACCATCTAAACATATTATATATTAATTCTCAAATATTTATTGTAAAAGTATTAACAATAGTCAAGCAAGATTTATGYAATAATTTATATAAAATCTGTAGTATTTATATTTTTTATAATAAAATTGAGCTTTATTTGAGATTTTTTACGAGTATAGTTACTATTCATCTGTCATTTCAAATGTCATATAGTCTTCGGTTGTCATACTCGTATAAGGTGTGTGATATCGTACATCATACGTCACAACAGTGTCCCACTTACCTGACCACCACTGTGCTGGCAACAAAAAACGATAACATTTACTCTGCTCAAAGCAGGGTTGTAATTTTTCAGACTTCCACATTAAATAGAAAGTTATAAAAAACAAACAAAAAAGATTAGACACATCAATCAAAACAGAAATTGAAAAATAAATAAAAYTAGTAAATAAATTATCAACAAGAAATCGTAATAATATATAATAATACACAATCACTAACGCAAATCGATCGCTCTCGCTCTCTCCCTCTAGATTTTTTACGCGCTCTGCATGCTCTCAATGCATTTGCCGCCAGTAATAGTAAATATAATCAAATCTCTCTCTATACATTTGAAAAAGTCTCTATTTACTTATCTCAATCCCTACTGAGAGAGTAAGTATATACCCGCTTACTCTCTAACATAACTATRTTTATGTGCAGCGAGCGCATTTCGCATGCTTCAACACGCCGGCAGACGGACAGTATGTGAGTAAAAGTCATGTCATTTGGTTGTGTTTCGATTAGTGTTGAGCTAGTACATGTTTYTAAATTATTAGCCATCCGCAAATTGAGAACCACTTACCTGATGAATTAGCTAAAATAAGCATTGTAAATAAGAATTAACGTAAGATTGTGCTCTTTTTGTGCTGTGTGGTTGTTGTTACTTGATAAATCGCCAAAACTTATTAGCTAGTTGCGGTTTAGCTGTTCGCAAATACTGCTTGATTTGTGCGCTCAGTTGTTTGTTGCATGATGAGTAGTAAGGGTGAAATCAGACGACGTGTGATGACCCCTAATCCCAATACGCACACCACCGATCCGTTGCTGCAGCAGCGCAACGAGACCTATCGAGTAAGTACAAGTACAAGTCCGACTCAAGCCGGCATTTAATTGACTGGCTCTCTAAATATATACAAACAACTGTGTTATACATATATACATACTATATGAGTTTTATAATGAGTGGTTTGAGAGCAAGAATTAAAAATTATATGAA